AATATGATAATTCAACAAATGTAGGCGGCCATTAAGTAAGTGCTTATTAGATTAAAATTAGACTGACTTCAATCTTAACTTGTATGCAGTTGTATTATAAGTAGGTACTTTATGATAAGCAAGCATCGACAGCTCGTGAAGCTAGTCAATAAAATAATTACTTACATTGTTGTTTCCGTATAATAATTACGCAGGTAAAATTACAATTAATTATGTAAGGTATACAATATTTGTCATGTCATCTAGATAATTTTAAAATATTGTTGTGTCAAAGTGCTATTGTTTAGCTGACTTACAAAATAAATATTTTGTAGTCGTTATAAATACTACTTATATAAAAAAACCGACTTCAAAAAACTAAAAACCAAAAACTAATAACAAACAAAAAGTCAAGTCTAAAAAGCAAAAAATAACTATTATTAGTACTGATAGGTTACCCCCCCACTGATAGGTAAGAAGTCGGTGCCATAAGTTCAATACAAAATTATTCATTAAAACCTTAATAGGTACCTTATTCACAATTTTGTGGACATTAAGTTATATCATTATGATATGAGCTCATGGCACCGACTTCTAACCTATCAGTGGGGGGGTAACCTATCAGTACTAATAATAGTTATTTTTTGCTTTTTAGATTTGACTTTTTGTTTGTTATTAGTTTTTGGTTTTTAGTTTTTTGAAGTCGGTTTTTTAAACGCAGTTTTTATTTTATTATTTTATCATTTTTAGTATAAAGCTACATATACCCGTTTTGTTATTTATAATCTACATAGGTGCAAAGTTCTAATCAATACAAATTATACAAGCCTAAACACAAGGTAGTTACAGTATACCGTTGAGGAGTTCCCTTAGCAATTACACTTCTTCATTATCAGACCTTTAATGACCGCCCCACTCTATCTAGGTGTAAAGTCCTCATCAATACAAATTAATCAAGCCCAAACACAAGGTAGTTACTGTATACCGTTGAGGAGTTCCCTTACCAATTACACTTCTTCATCATCAGACCCTTAATGACAGCCCCACTGTATCTAGGTGTAAAGTCCTCATCAATACAAATTAATCAAGCCCAAACACAAGGTAGTTAATATAAACCGCTGAGGAGTTCCCTCGACTGTCTGTCGACTCCATCATCAGGTCGACTCCAAACCCATATGAAATTGTAGTGTTTAAAAATGGTAATTGAAAAACATAATAGACGCATTACTCCTCCATAGAATTTTCGAAAGTTCCCCTCGGTTTCCCTAGGATCTCATCATCAGATCCTGACTTCATGGAAATGGGACCATCTCGGGAGTATACCCTTTCAAACAAAACAAAAATTTTCGAAATCGGTCCACAAACGGCGGAGTACTGCGCGAACAAACAAAAAAAAAAAAAAAAAAAAAAAAAACAATCAGCCGAACATAGTACCTCCTCCTTTTTTTGAAGTCGGTAAAAAATTAACAAACACTCTCGCCGCTCTTATAATTTTGAAATGTTCCCCTCGGCTTCCATGGGATCCCATCATCAGATCCTAATCTGGTGGAAATGGGACCATCCCAAGAGTTTAAGAGAGTAATCGGGTAACATACACACAAAAAAAAACATACAGCCTGATAACCTCCTCCTTATTGGTAAATTGAGAAATTGGTTAAAAGAGTTTAAATTGGACAACTTATGCTTGACGTATGCCTTATAACGACCTGCTACCGAAAGGTATGCAGGGGATGTTCCGCTGAATTTACGACATTGTAACTGCGATGATGATGATCTATGGAATTATGGAACCCTTGCCACGATGGAATATTGAGCTATTTGAGCTAGATTACTAAACTCCGAACACTTCAAAAATCTATGCTAATGCAACCCACAGACAATTTCGACATCGAACACTAATGAAGTAAGTATTTTTAATCGAAATTACGATATGTTTACCTAATTACATTATCTAGGACTTGTGGTTAGGGTTACGCAACATTTGTATATATAGAATCTAAATCAACCGATAAATTAATTATGTATTTAGTTTAATTCGACAATAACTGGTTTTGATGACGTCTCGAAAATGTTACCAACATCTAAAAGAGAGTTTATAATTGGTTTGAATCACTTTCTCATGCTTAAACTGGTCTAATTTATACACGAAACGTTAGTAGTAAGTTATAATTGAATCAGCTTTTCTATCATTTAACTTCGTTACACAGGTAATATATATATTTTAAAAATTATGAAACACAATAAAGCATTTGTTTTTTTTATGGCATAAGCCGGTATACAAACAGACGGATCACCTGATGGTAGGCAATCGGTGTCGCCCATGGACACCTGGATCACTAAAGGCGTTACAAGTGCGTTACCGGCTAGGACGAATAGGCTTTTTGGGGATTAGGAATTTGAGGATCGTTGGGGATTCAGGGAATGGGGAGATTGGGAAAGGGGAGGGTAATTGGGCCTCTGGTAACCCCAATCAAACGACGAAACACAACGCAAGCGTTGCTTCACGTCGGTTTTCTGTGAGGCCGTGGTATCACTCAGGTCGAGCCGGCCCATTCGTGCCGAAGCATGGCTTTCCCACACTTGAAAATTGTATTTGTATTTGTATTCTATTCAAAGTTGTGCATACCATAAAGATTCAAATTATTAAAAGGAAACAGAATTATTTAGCAACACATCCAAAAAGGATAATCACAAATCATCTTCTTCTTTGGTTAACTTATTTTATTTGCTTTGCTTTGGTGATTAGGTCGAATCTCCCAAAACATCCTTGTGATATCAACCTCATAGGTACCTATGTTTTTTACAATGGATCAAAAACCTTTTGTAGTTAAATATGGCCTGATCTTGCACCAGGCCTATAAAAAGACCTTTGTAAAAAAATGTTTGCCTGTACTTTTTTGCTCTTTTGGGTTTCGGGTGCGATGGGGAGACTAGGGTTGGTTGCCATAGAGGTTATAATAAGCAAATTCACGAACGAAATACGAAGATCAATCGGATTCGAACGAGAGATGGTATTTTAGCATTTTTTTCGCGTCGATCGATGTTTCGGTTACAATTTAAATGACCGCTGACAACTTTTATATTTAACAGCTGATGTTAATACAAAACCTCTGCATTTATTTGCATTTTCGACTATTCCTATCTTAAGTAAGGATGCGGATTATTCTTATTTTTCGGTGTTCTGAATATCTCGATTATTACTACACTAGCTACACGTTTGACACGCCCTGCTCAGCTCCTATTGGTTGTAGCGTGATGTTTTATAGCCTATAGCCACCCTCGATAAATGCGGTATCCAACACTAAAAGAATTATTCAAATCAGACTTGTAGTTACGGAGATTAGCGCGTTCAAACAAACAAACAAAAAAACAAAACTTCCGCTTTATATAATAGTCTAAGAGTATAAGATAGTATAAGATAACACATACCATCCTGCCTTTTATCCCCAAAGGGGTAGGCAGAGGTGCACGTTACGACACTTAATGCCACTGTACCATGTAACACCCACTTTTCACTATTTTATTTTATAAGTCCAATGTAATAGGGAGTGAGCCTATTGCCATATACCGGGCACAATTCCATAAAAATAAACAATTTATGATAAACCAGTTTAGGTTGGAATCGATAAAAAAAAATACATTTCTGACACAAAACTGCATCGATATATCTACGTTTGTGATACACTAATAAATTATCTAAAGTGTCGCATGAAAACAAACATAAAATTAAATTAAGTTGTAACATTATTGTAAACATGTTTTTATCACAATCCGAAGGAATATGTTAATTTGCTTTAGAGGTTTTTAACCCCTTATGTTGAGCAGTCTATCAGCTAACTACCTCGTTGTTTAGATTGGCACTATCGAGCAAGGAGTACCGGGTTTACTTCAAAACTACTCAGATTCAATGAATTTGGTATCTGAGGCTTTAGCGTACTAAGTTTGATTTACATAGACTAATTGTATCTATATTTTTAAATGTTTTTTTTTTCTTTCTTTTTTTTTACTTTAAGGCCGTGGGGCCCAAGTGCACATCTTCTTTACAAAGATATCGTAAGAAGGATGGTTGACACTTCATGGTGATCGAAGGGCTGGCTAGTACCTTAGGCAAAGGTTAAGCATTGCCATTCAATGTGGCAATGCTGCCAGTCTTTTGGGCACCCTACCTCACGGTAGCGATGAGGAAAATTTTTTTTGATGCCTTAACATTTTTATTATATTACTTTTTTTAAGGTGCAAATACTTTAGTTTTAAGTTAGTATTTTAAGTTGTATATATTTATTAATTTAAATTCTTACCAATAACTTTTTTTTAATGTTTTAGATAACAAAATACGTTAAGTATTTTCAATTAATGTAGGTCAATAGTATTTTGTTCAACGAATTAACGTTAGAGACACGGTAAGAGATATAGAAATCAGCGCGACATTATTTATTAACGTAAACATTATGAAACTATCTATAGATTAAAAATGTGTGAAAGTTGTATTATGTCTCGTTAGTCGGTTGATAAAACTGTGTTCCCGATTAAATAACAAATTGATAGTTTCTCGAGAAAATCACCGGCAAGCAACCATAACTTAATAATGTAGGTATAAATGTTATAATTTGTAGTTTTTAAACTCTAACATTAATTTCATTGTTTGAAATAATGTTTCTACTAATCACACTCAAAGAAAGCAGATGGACCTAATATAAGCAATAATACTAACTAAACGTGGCTGTTAAAAGCTGTAATTTGGCGTTATTGTTAACATGCCCATTCAAAGTATAATTTTAAAATATATAGGAACTAATTGGTTACAATTGACAAAAATACTAATACCTACTCGACGCTCATACCTAGTTATTTCCTTTTTACAAAGTTTTATGGACGTTGATATTTCTAAAACAAATTATAATGACGGCTACCGAGACTGGGCACAATATAATAAATGTATATGCAATAATATGCATACACACACGTGTAACGCAATTATTAGTTGCGCGATTCCAAACAGAGTATAAAAATAAATAACTTACATGCGGTATCGGTTTCCTGCTGTGGTCCAAGTGCATTCCTCCAACTTCAACCACACCAGGCAATAGAGGACGAACACCATTCAGACTGTGGAACGTATTCACCAACATCATGCTCACGTTCTTCGCAATCTCCTGCAGGTCCGGAATCCTCCTTCCGAAACGCTTCTCAATAATCGCCTTTTCTTTCATTTGTATCGCGTATCGGAACCACGTCTTATAGTACACATTCAATATCGTGTTCTCTAATCGTTGCAGGAAGGTCATCTGGGATGTGAACTCAGAACTTACGAGTGGCACGTAAGAAGGGTTATCATTAACGCCTATACGGTCCGCAGACCACTGCATCATTGCACTCGAAGACAGCGATATGTAAGGCGCCTTCAACCCGTGCACATGCATAAGACCGAGCATGCAATCACTGTTGAAATTTTCCACAAGAATAACATCGTAACTTTTCTTCATAGCGTTAGATAAGGGCACGAAATCCACAATATTCGAACAAATCCCAGTAGCCATGTCCGCCAGCGGTTGGAAGTCCAGGATTTGTTTGATAACTTTTTCAATACCTAGAGTATTGAGCAGCTTGTTTTGGCTGTCGAAGTATGACAGGTCGATGGTTTCCACTCCTTGTGCAGCGAGCCCTTCTAAGCTGACGATGGTATAATTAGCAGGAGGATTCTTGATGGGGAAGAATGACACTACAGTCACATCATGTCCTCTTTCTGCCAAAGTTCTTAGTAGAGGATCGAATACCATTTGGTGGCTTTTGCCGGTGTGCGGGAAAAGTCCGAGAATGCGTGCGGATTGAACATTGACGGCGAAGATCGCGACGAGTAGTATGGCGAGAGTCCGCATCGTGGGCAATGTACGCTGCGTCGCGGCCCGTACAGTACTGTTGATACGAAAGGCGACCGGCCGTCGCGTGGAACCTATTTTCAGATCATCTGTTCTGTGGGGTGGCACGACACTTATACCCGTACTGTAGGTTCGTACGTAGTTACGTATTAGACGACCGTCTTCGTCACGTATTTAAAAGGGCAAGGTGAAGTATAGATTATAGGGGTAAGACTTAGATAAGTATTCCCAACGAGAGATTTCTGTTTGTTTAGTTACTGCAATGCATTTTTATTAACTAAGATTGCATTTACTCTAGTTATGTCGATATGGATTTTATAAAATTGTTAAATAGATGTTAATAATTTATTTATCTTTAGTTTATTCGTATTGAAAATACCCTACAGAACTATACTTATCACCGTTGTCTTTCCAAAAGTTCCGATCATTCATTTACCGCGTGCGCTCCGATTTATATTTATTTACAAAAGTAATGTAATGAATGCTGTTGTTATTTATAGTTTATAGTAATGTAGGGTAATAGGAGTTTGTTCCGTAATAACATTAATGAGATGTTAATGTTACCCACTGTTTTTCATTTATTCAGATATCGATTGAGTTGTTTTAGAAGCTAATTGAAGTTTTCTTATAAATGAATTATTATCAAAAATGTCGTAAGTAGGTATGTACCTAATAACTAATAAGGAAAAGTTAAGGAGATAAAATTGGTGCACATAACGGCACTTAATGCTACTGTTCAATGTAACACCCACTTTTCACTATTTTTATGTTATGCGTCCCATGTAAAAGGGGATGAGCCTACTACCATATACATATACCAGGCGCAATTCCAGACTCCGTGCTACTATTGAATTTTTTTTTAAACTCAGTAATACTTGCCCGACCCCGTAAATCCAACCCGAGACCCCTTGCCCGGCAGTCGCACTTGCGACCACCAGCCAATGAGGTAGTCTTCTTCTTTTTAGAATAGAGCATCGCTCTCGCACACCACTCGAGTCGTCCGAACGGTCGTCGCATAGATTCGTCTATTCAAATTGTGGTTTTAAAAAATGGGTCAATTTTGCGTTCCTGATTTCATTACGGGGACAAATAAGTTCGTAATTATAAAAAAGGACAGTTCCGTTCAGAGTGCTTACCCTTGAAATCAATCTCAATGTCAATGCAATTTCAATCCAGTAAAATCTCAATAATTATTCAATGTCAACACTATACAACTCCTATCGTAGCTATTAAAATAGCATTCAGAGTTCGGATTAAAAATCAAAACTCAATACCATTTAGTTCATTCAATGTCCACGCAATACGGGTGTAATGGGCGCTAGTGTTGTAACTCGAGGGTACGAAATTTCACAATATCAATGTCGTTCGATCGGAATTGGATTCAAGAGTAAGCCCCCTGAACGGGAAATCTGGTCACGTTAGGTATATGTTATACATATAAGGAATTTAATTTTTTTTGGAGTTGGTACCTAAAATACTTATATCGAACATGAAGTTTGTCTATGGCAAAGTGGTACCTATCCATTTTCAAATTGGACCTAATCCTACTGGACCACTTTCCGCTGCACTTTCGGAAAGTCAATAAAATTCATCCCACACTATTGTCTTAGCATAGCTGATATCAATAAAGTAGATAATGAAGAATTACGTGCAGAAAACGCAAATTACACTTATCTACACGAGTCGGTTACTTGGTAATGGTTCCTTTGCTAACTACGCATCACATGACTTGACAATTTAGTAGAACAAGTAGACGATACCTTTATAATTATATCTCTATGTCTAATTGTTATTGTGGCTATTGGGCTCGACGTTGGTTTTTAGTCAGTAAGAGTCTGACACTCCCTTCCGCCTCACCCAGGCGGGAGCAGTCATTCGATGATTTTCCCCCCAAAAAAAAAAAAAAAAATTGTGGCTATTGGCGTTTATATGCCTATATGTAGAATGAGGATGATGACAGGGTATGAAAATTAAAAATATAATTAGTCCGTAAGTTAGGTAATTAAAAAATATTAGATACGTATTTTTTTATTTTGTAGTATAATAAAACAATGCTTAGATAAACGAATCAAAGTTTAGGAGTGGGGGCTAAAACATAATTTCTTAGTAGGTATAAAATGTACTGAGAAGTGACGTCACGCGACATTTCAAATCAATATATAGTCGAAAGTATTCGTTTCTGTAACAAAATAAAAAATACGTGTCTAATGTTTTTAAATAATCTACCATTACATTACCATGACATTAAAATAAAAATTAGTCGTCTACCCTAACTGCCTAAATCTTAACGACATCTGCTCTTTTAACTTTAACGAAGACTAAAGTTCTACAAAAACTCTTTGCCAAATCTAAAACAGATAAATAAAAGAGTGTCTGTTTGTTATATTAAAACTTTTTACTACATGCATATGAATATACATACGATACACATATCAAAATAACATTTTTTACTCTTTTTGTTTGTCTGTCTGTATGCTTGTACTGGCTAATCTTTGGAATGGCTGGTCTGATTCTGACCGGACTTTTATTGGTAGGTAGCTGATGCACTAAGGAGTAACATAGGCTACTTTTATTTTGGAAAATTGTAACAAAAAAACGTTATTAATTAAAAATCGCGTTTATTTTTTATTAATATAAAAATTAAATAAAATTATTCACGTGAATATACCGAGAAAAGCTCTACTGGTTTCGAACCACAGAAGGGTTCTTCCTCATGAGCAGTCGCGGAGATGTCGCGCAGCCTACTGTACTATTGTGAGTAACCCGCGATTTTTAGTTAATTGAGTATGTCCCACGATAGTTACTTAATACATATAAAAAAAGTTATGTCCTAAAAGTCATATTATTATACTACACGGAAGAAGTGACGGAAAACAGCTGTTTATAAAATAAATTAGGCACCTACTCAAACTAGAATACAGGGTTTAAACTAAATTAACAATAAGTATTGCATAAGTAGTTGGCCAGTTACCAAATTGTCTCTAGCCGCTAGTATTTTTTTTCTGGTATTTCGGAAATTCTTAGTGACAGCAAGGAATTTGAAATTGCGTCTAGTATATGGGGCAATAGGCCAAAGAGTATATATAATAAGTACTTACAGGAGAACAAATAACAATGAACTCAACGTCTGTAATATAGGACTTATATATATAGTTACATCCCTATGTACTCCTTCGAGGATATTGTATTCATTATGTTAAACATAATACATACTAAACATCACGCCTTTTATCTCCAAAGGGGTAGGCAGAGGTGCATATTATGCCACTGTACAATGTAACCAACCCACTTTTCACTATTTATATTATGAGTCCCATGTATAATAGGGGGGTGAGCGTATTGCTATATACTCCGGTATATAGCAATACGCAATTGTGTCCGCACAATTCAAGACTCCGTATTACTACCGAGAATTAAATAAAAACCAGTAATATTAATATATTATAATTATAATTTGCCCGACCCGGGAATCGAACCCGAAGGCAGTCATTATGTTAAAGTAATTAAATTAGCTAGATACTTTCACCATACATATTTTTTATTTTTTTTATCTTTATTTATTTTTTTTTCTTAAAAGAAAACGTCACCCGAATATTGAGTACAAAAATATCAAAAAAGAACACTTATACTTAGACTTACATTTAAGTTAACTTAACCATATATTGTATTAGTCTTAGTTTTAGTTACAAAGGATTAAGAAATAGGAAAAACTCTTTACTTACTTATAGTAGGTAGGTATTGAATTTAGGCATCAAATGCAAAAAACCCATGATCTTCCTGCATGGTAAACATGGAGTCTTATGCGTAACAATTACGTAAACTAATTGTTTAGTAATCTGTGGTATAAATACGTCTTAACTGTCCGGGAAACCAATGAGAAATTGGTATAACCATGAGGTACCTATTTACGTATCACTGAGTAATATTAATAAATAGTTGTCCTTATATTAAACTTATTATTTACGTCAGTTGACCTTATTGCGAATTTTCCCGATTAAGGTGAACACACACTTATCCGAGCCGAACGCAGCAATCTGAAATCGAAAACTTTTGACTTCAGATTCGGACTTCAGGTTTTATGAGATTTCATGTATACACAATTTTAAAATTCGTTTCGTTCGGCTCGAATAAGTGCGCGTTCGCCTTTAGTTGCTAATTCAAAGTCATAGGAAAAAAACCAGTACCTAGCCTGTTGAGTCAGCAATAAAATAATCATTAGCTAATTATTTTTTTTTACAAATTAGGATGTTCTCCTACATGACATGTGAGAGTGAACAAACATTATGATTAAATATTCATACTTTGTTTCAGGACACATTTTATTAAGGTCAGCGTGGAGGATTCTAAATATAAAATATTTTGTTTGATTATCTGTCACTTTAAAAACCTGAAAGCCATACAAACAGACAATAATAGGGTATTTTACAACTAATCAAATTCAATACTTTTATCGAAACGTCAAAAACGATATCGTTCTATGAATTTTGTACCAAAAACTAAATTATGACGTCATCGTATTTTCGAGTCAAACAGCACACTTATTTCTGAAGAAATTGCCAGAATAAATCGAAAATTAAGTCAAATATATGAATGAAATTGTAATTATTTTTGAATATTTAATTGGATTGAAAAATCAAAATAATTTATTTTTGTCACAGGAAAATACCCAATTGCATTTGTAGCTCGCACTTGACAAAATTTTTAAATTTCGAATTTATAAATTTTTTCTGCCACTACATTTTTTTAATAGCTTATATTTATCATGTCAGATTTAACAAATATAAAAAAAAAACTACACAAATAGCATACTTAGCTAATAAATTAATCTAGTTGCAGATTCGAAAGCTAGGTAAGTTTCTAAACACCACAGAGAACAAAATAACAAAACGTACCTTCATCACTTTAACCTACGAACCGTTGTAGAATTTGCGGAAGAAAAAAAATCTCGTCCGCTAATGTCATTGACCGCTCCAATTACTTTGCAACATAAATTACTAGAA